ACTGAAGTGGGATTTTTTGAACTGGAACACTTGGTGTTCCCCTGGGCAGGATGGTTCCCGGGCTCTTTGTCCATGGGAGTAGAAGAATGAATCCACAGATGGAAGGTGGTATAGTAAAGGTGGACATTTTATTGAAGAACAAATACAGACTCCCACGGGGGGAAGGGGAAAGAATCTCACAGCACAGACTCCCGCTTGGGGAGAGGGAAAGAGTCCCACCGAGTCCCTGTTTCCACGATTTATAAAGGCTGTAGATCTTTGTGCTTTGATATCCCCTCTGATTGGTCACTATTCCCTTAGACTGGTTACTATAGTAACTTCTGAGCTCAAAGGTCAAACCTCACATGGGACATGTGAAGTTCTCTCCCTGCCCTCCCTCCCCCTGCTCCTTCCTTATTGTTTTCCTATTCCCTTTGGGCTTTCTTCTTCTCCTTCTGGATGAGGGGCTTCCTTCCCTTTATTTTGTAAATATAGACCTTCTGCTGTTTCTAGCTCCCTCATTCTATGGAAATGTACCTGTTGCAGCTTTATAGCTTCCCTATTCTATGGAAATATACCTTCTGCTGCTCTGCAGCCCTGTGCTTCTTCCATGGTCTTCTTAATTTCTAAAATTTCCTAAAACCTGTCTTTTTAATCCCCCAAAATTCATGTTCAACACTATAAAATTCATCAGTTTAGAATGGGGTTTTATATATTTACACTAGTGGCCTGGTGCACAAAATCTGTGCACTCTGGGTGGGGGGGGTGTCTCCCAGCCTGGCCTGTGCCTTCTCAGAGTGCAGGGGCCCCGCGATCAATCACCCCAAAGAGGTAGGCCATGCCCACCCATCTGAGGGCCCTCGATGGATTGACACCAAAGAGGTAGGCTGGAGTCGGGGGTTGTATCTCCGCCGTGTGAGCAGGGCCACAGGAACCCCAGCGAAAGCCACGTGGAGCAGCGCTGGGACCTGCCCCCGCAGTGCGTGTGGGGCTGTGGAAACCCCAGCAGAAGCTGCACGGAGCAGCCGCTGGGACCTGCACCATGCACACAGCGTCAAGCCCCACGCACCCTGGTGATGGATTGTGACAGCGTGATGGCGTGAGGGCATGACGACCACTCTAGGCTATTATTAGTATAGATAGTTGTGCAACTATCACCACAATCTAAGTCTAGAACATTTTCATCACCCCAAAAGAAAGCTCATACCATAAATAGTCACTTCCCATTCTTCCCCATCTCCACCCCAATTTTACAATCCACTAATGGACATAAAGGAGAGTTAAGTTCCTCTGGCATTTCATCCCCTGCAGGCCTGGTTGCCCCCAACTGCCCTCCCTTGCAGGCCTGGTCCTTCCCAACTGCCCCCACTGCTGGCCATCTTGTGTCCACATGGGGGCAGCCATCTTGTGTGTTGGAATGATGGTCAATTTGCATATTACCTCTTTATTATATAGGATTCTTATGTCCTTCATCATAGATTAGTTGATCATATAAGTTTTTTTTTCTGATATCTATATTCTGTTTTATTGATTTATGTGTGTTTTGTTTTGTCAGAACCATTTTGTCTTGATTATTATATCTTTGTAATATAGTTTGAAATCAGGGTACATGATACCTCCAACTTTATTCTTCTGTCTCAAGATTGCTTTGGTTTATTCATGGTCTTTTGTTGTTTCACATAAATTTTTAGATTACTTATTCTAGTTCTGATAAGAATTTCATTGGTATTTTGATAAGAATTTCATTGATCTAAGAATTTCATCAGATTGCTTTCAGTAGTATGGTCATTTTAATGATATTAATCCTTCCAATCCATGAGCATGGTATATCCTTTCATTTATTTGTGTCCTCTTCAATGTCCTATACAGTGGGGCCTTGACTTACGAGTGTCCCGACTAACAAGTTTTTCGAGATAAGAGCCGTCTCTCGGCCGATTTTTTGCTTTGAGTTGAGAGCTAAAATTCGGGTTACGAGCCAGCTTTAGATACCCCACCGCTAGTTAGCACAGCAAACGCCACAGTGAACGCCACAACATCAGCCCAGCATCACGTGTCTCACTTGTTCACTTTATGATTTGACATACGAATAATTTGAGTTACAAGCTCTGTCACGGAATGAATTAAACTGGTAAGTCAAGGCCCCACTATAGTTTTCAGAATGCCTCATTCGTTGAATTTATTCCTAGTTATTTTATTCTTGCAGTTGTAAATGGGATTGTTTTCTTAATTTCTCCTTCTGATTGTTATTGTATAGGAGCACAATGTATATCTGTTTATTAATTTTGTATTCTGCTACTTTACAGAATTGTTTCATTAATTCTATTAATATTTGGTGTTTTTTTTAGGGCTTTCTACATATATATTATCATGTCATCTGAAAATATTAAGTTTTACTACTTCTTTTACAGTTTGTATACCTTTTATTTCTTGTTCTTGTCTGATTACTGTGGTTAGGACTTCCAATACTATATTGAGAAGTGATGGTGAGAGTGGGCATCCTTACATTTTTTGTGATCTTAGAGGAAAAGCTTCTTGCTTTTCACCATTAAGTATGGTGTTAGCTGTGGGCTTTATAAAGTTTTTTCTTTTGTTTAGTTCTGCTTTGATTCTTATTTTTTCCTTCTACTTACTTTGGGGTTTCTCTTTTACTAGTTTTTTCAGATGTAATTTTAGATTATTTATTTGGGATTCTTCCTCCCTCTTGAGGTAGCCTGTATAACTATAAACTTTCCTCTTATAACTGCTTTTGCTGAATTCCATAAATTTTGTAAAGTTGTGTTTTCATTTTTATTTGTCTCAAGGTAGTGTTTGATTTCCTCTTTGATCTTCCTCCTCCCCTACTTCCTACTCTTTTTGGAATTCCTATAATGAGAATGTTAGGGTGCTTGATGTTATCCAGGGATCTCATACTATTTTCACTTAAAAAAATTTTTTTTTCATTTGCTGTTCTGATTGGGTGAATTTCATTATTCTGTCTTCCAGGTCACTAATCTATTCTTCTGTATTAACTAACCTGCTGTAGATCCTTCTAGAGTTTTCATTTCAGTTATTATATTCTTTACCTCTGATTGGTTCTTTATTACATTTTCTATCTTTTTGCTGAAGCGTTATCTGAGTTCCTTTATTGTATGCTCAAATTTGTCGAGCATCCTTTTGATGATTGAATTCTTTATTGGGTAAATCACTTATTTCTATTTCATTAGGGTTTTTCTCTGAAGTATTTTCTTGTTTCTTTATTTGGGGCATGTTCTTCTGTCTCCCCATTTTTAAATTTTATTTTCTGTGTTTTTTTCCTATGAATTGGATAGAATAGCTCTTTTTCTTTCCCAGTCTTGAAAGAGTGGTCTCTGTGTAGACTGTGTGTTGAATCATTTTGGCAGGCCAATTGTAGTCCATGCAGCTAGGTATAGTTCCTGGTGTGTGGTCTGGCTTTAAGGAGTGAGTTCTGGGTGGGGCAGATTGGGGTGTGTGTGCTTCCTTGCTTTTCTAATCTGGGTCAGGCTGCCTGATGTAGACGGAACTGCTTGGTTTGCTATTGGTGTGCCCTGTTGTTTTTAACTGTGATCAGAGCAGGGTCTGGGTGGGGCTGCTTTACGTACTTGCCTCTCAGCAACCCACCAATTCTGCTCCCTCTCTGGACAGTGCACCTACTCATGCACTCAGAGGTGCCCCTGTCCACAGGAGCAGCCCTGTGTGAGTGCCCTATCGCTTTAAATGTCCACAGTCAGAGCAGGGTATGGGCAGGGCCACTCTGTGTGCCTGCCTTACCAGCTCTGCCCTTTCTCTGGGTGGGGCAGTCTTGCATGCATGCTGAGCTGCAATATACTATATTTCACCCTCTCCAGGCAGGGTAACCCTACATGCACTCAACAGCACCCCATTCACTCTGCACGGGGCAGCGTGTGGGTACTGCCGTTTTGCTAGCTCCGCAGTGTCTCCAGGAGTGCAGCCTGCCCACTATCTGTACACTCTCTGGACAGGGTATCCCTACAGGCAACATCATGGCATTTTCTAGTCCCACATTCTCTCCAGGGGGGGAGCTCCGTGTGCACACAGCCCAGTGGGTGTGCAAAGCAGCACCCTGCCCTATCTGCTGAATCAGCTTTCAGGTGGAGGCGCACCTTGTGTGAACTGCGGCTCCTCCTGTTTCTGCTGGATTTGGCTACAGAAGGGTGGCTGAGGACACGCTCCAGTGCCCTGCAGGTGGGCCAGGGAACCTGGATGGAGCTCCTGCCCACTACCACATGCCAGGGAAGCATAAACAACGGCGCTCACCAGTTTCTCAGGCCCTGGGTTGTTCCTCAGCTCTGGAGAGCTCTTGTGTTCCCCAACCTTCTCTATGCGTCCCTTTCCCTTGCTTGTGCAGCTGTTCAGTTGGCTCCCCGTTGGCTCGCAGGAGGCACTGCCCCAGGTATTAGTGTACACTTAATGTGTTCTTGGGGGGGGGCGGGGTGAGCTCAGTGGCTACCTGTGCTGCCATCTTGGACTCGCCCCTCAAATGTGTCTTAATTATACTAGCAGAAGCCTCCAGTTCCTTTTCACATGCTTTTGAAATTAAAATTGTTAAAACATATGCTTGATTATTCAAACTTGTTCTTCAAACTTATTACTCTTCTAGGTCCTGTCTGGTTTGGCATTGCACATCTTGAAGAGAAACCCACCTGGATCCCTTAAGCTCAGCTGGTTGCATGGGAAAGGAGGGTCTGAGAACTTAAATCCCAAGTCCTGTACCCTGTTTTGCTGTAAGCTTGACCGACAGTTTGAGATTTCATTCTCTAACACACCTTTGGGTAGACTGCCCCTCAATGATTTTCTCTCTCTGGGCAACAAGGCTTTGCTTTACCCACCCATGTCCTTTGTACACGTTAGAGAGCCAGACTGTATTCTCTCTGCTCCTTTGGAAAACTAACATTATCATCATCAGATAACGTTCCATTCATCAACCCTCACTCAGGGACTCTCCATGGTACCTGATGATTCAAGGGTTCTTTCCGCTGCACAGGAAAAGAAAGACAACAGGGTGAAGGTGCGACAGGCTTTGGGTTAAATGGTCTAGACCTGCTTTTTTATTTGCAGCCATTGCATACAAATTTCCAAAGAAGTGAAATTTTAAATTTTGTTGAATTTCAGGAGCAGGCAGAGAAATCTGCTGTGGACTATCTGCAGGACAGACAGCTTCTCCGTGGAGGTCAGAATAGTTGTCTTGTTTTCCCCTGAACCTGGTTTAAACGTTGCGATTGCCATGATAAACACCCACCTTGGATGGCACTTACCTGTCTCCAGGTAAAGAAATACTAGTTCTAATGTTCTTGGTGCTAGAACAAAAAAGCAGGGCTGGGTGTCTGGTAGACGTCCCAGGCTTGCTTACGTGAAGTGATGGGATGTCTACTGTTGAAAGAACACTTACATTAATGCTACCTAAATCCAATGTGGCCAGATGGTTACCTTTCTGTTCAGTCACTTCCCTCTGCAGATGGGCAACGAGAGGAGAAGGTAGGAAGAAAGGAAACGAAGGATTACTAATTGGTTCCTCTAGGGTGGACACAAACCAAGGCTCATTCATAATTTTAACCCTTAAAGTGACCCCAGCAACTAGAAATCATGAAGCCCATCTCAAAGCTTTGCACATGAAAACTGGGCTGGGCATGAAAGGGCTGTCCAAGAGACACTAGTGGGAATGTGCACAGTTAAGTCTTCAGACTCCATCCCATTTGTGTATTCTGAAGCTTGAGGGCCTGGAGTGTTAGCATTGAGCCCGACCTGGAATCACAATGGCCAATCAGAACAGATGCCACTCAGCATCCATATAACTTAAAGCTCTAGTAGGAACTGGATCAGGATTCTCCCAAGTAAATGTGTGGGGAGTGCCATTGAAATTCTGTACTTACTCTTTCTAGTGAAAGGTCATCACCTCTTGACAAACACACCTTTCCGTCATCACCAGAACTTCATTATCCCTGTCCCCAAAGATGTCACTGTAGGTGTTGGTGATGGAAATAGACAACAGATACTACTTACGTGTGTCCATCATCATTTTGTAAACACTAGTTGAACGGACGTTTTTTCTCCAATGAGAAAATGGCACGACAAAGTCAAAATGTGATTTATCTGTTTTATTTTCCTATGTTTCAGTAAAAGATTCAGAGAACTGATGGACACATATCATGAGCTATCTCCTGCCCACATACAGTATATGTACACTGCTTCTACTTTTTCACTGAATAAAGTGATACCATCTTTGCTCAAACCAAGGTACAAAGTTATACTGTAAACAAAAAACAAAAAAAGGCGGGTGGGTGGGTGTGGTCTTTGCTTTTCAGACAGTAAATGTATATGTACCACCACAAGGGAAAAACACGGAGGGAACATTTGCATCCCACAGGTTAAAAAGTCAACCAATTGGTACCCTTAGAGCACCTCCAAAACTAGCCAATTTGAAAAAATGAACCATTACCATGAAGGAAGTTCCTAGTCTTTCATCTTTCTGCCATCACGTAGCTATACTAGAATTTAAGTCCTCTTCATAGTGCAAATACAAAAATGATCAAAGTCAGGGTTTTATGGCTATCATCTGATAAAATATCTTGTATTTTAATATACATGCTCTAAAAGTACAAAAAAGTACTTTAGCGCTCTGTTAAAACAATTTACTTTTTACATATAGAATAGTGTACACCCAACTCAAAGTATATTTGAGGAAAGTTATTATTGTGACACAAATATTTCTAGATTAATATTTTATTATAATATTGATTTTACAATACAGGTATTCGGTGATGCTCTCCTATAACTCTGCATTGCAGTGCCTCACCAGTCACCTTATAGAAAATGCAAGGGAACTGTGTATCTCCAAGGAGTTTTTATTGTGCAAATCTTCGTCAACTAAGTTCCTATTACAAAATTTTTATTTGACTTTTCAACTTTGATATGCTACATTCCTGTATGATCAACATTTGGAGCTTTTGTGAGGCAAATAATGAGAGATGCTGAAAATTAACTGGTAGGTAGCCTGATTTTATAAGGGATCATTTTGTCTTATAACATTTCCAATGCCAATTCTAGGTTTTTATGGAATAGGGTGAAATAATGCTGACTGAATACATCCAGTTGTGAACCAACTGAATGCCAAACTGAGAAATCTTGGTACTGAGTTCAGCTACACCCACTACCGTGCAGTGCACTTGATAAAGCTGCCCATTAAATGCCATCCTAGGAATATCTGTACTGGGACCCATGCATATCCACACTCTTTGATTGTAGGTATAGTAGTAGAACAGGAATATAAAATGATTGAAATTTATTTTTGATTTAAACAAAAATATTTCCTCTTTTCATTAGTAAAACATTCTTTAAAATATATCTATTTCTCCTCTCTGAACATTTAGCCAAGGAGCAATAGGCAATTTTCAAAGGTTTACTGCTGCCTCTTCGATACAATAAGTATGGTTATAAAGAGCACACAGCAACATGAGCTTATTTGCATTCACTGGTAAGAAACTTGTCCTCGTCTCCTGTCCATCAGAGGAAGGTTTGACATTTGTGTGCTTTTTGTTCTCGGTGGGAATCACTCCTGCTTGATTTTCATTCTTGGAAGAAAAATATCATCAGCTGATGTCCTTGGGTTTTATGACATGATGTGAAAAAGGAAAGGGACAGAGATGAGCTGCTCCCATGAAGTCAGTCAGGGTCTGGGCCTCCAGGCAGATCTCCAAGCTTCCTGCCAGTGGAGTGTCTCCAGCTGCACAGGAAGGAGACGGGTAGGGACGCCCGGGACACAGAACCTTGTCCACAGACGGGTCACTCTCGCTCAGCGGGGCACCCCCTCTCTGCTTCAGCCACCACCCCTGCTCTCTACCCCTGCGTATTCATCTTTTGTGCTCATGGCTATTGAACTTAAAGAAACCAGTTCACAGGGAAACGAGGAAAAGCAGAGAACTAACTCGACCCAAAGTGGCCTGTGCCACGTGTCTCTGTCTTACGCAGTCTCCTGAGCTCTTGTCATCTGTGGAGGCTGCACACGTTCTTCAGAGCAGAACTCCCCTTTGTTTCTCTTCAAAAGCTTTTGCGACGTCAGGTTTTTCCAAACAACTTTATCAGAAGTAGAGTCTGATGTCAGCCAATAAAGATAGAAATTTCGGCCTCCCTCTCTTGAATCTCAAACCTACCTAAAAGAGGAATGTTTTCCCCTGGCAAATGATTACTTACTTTCCTTTTGTTTTGGATCCAACTCAGTCCTCAGAAAATACTTCAAACTAAAAGAGGAGGAAGTGCAGGAGAACGAACTTCCTATTGTGCCTCCCAGAGAACATTCTGCTAAAACCGAGAGCAGCTCCAAGTGCAAAAGTAAATATTTGTGCAAAGGGCACACTTTCAGGTGCAATCTTAAGACATCCTCAATTGACTCATTTGATAGTATTTGACTCTTTAAAACAGTCTTTTAAATTATGAAAATGGCAAGTAAGGGAAAGGAAGTTAACATCAGAAAATACACTTTAGAAAAAAGTACAGAATACTCTGATGATGATTTGCTACTTATTTCATAACTTAGATCAAGTCAGTGTGTGTTAAATATTCACAGTAGTTCAGAGAAGAAACATTCGTGTCTGTAAATCTTCACTCTAGTGCATTTTCAACCATTTTTCTGTACATTTACAAAATTTCATCTGTCAGTGCTTTTCTGTAGAATTCCTTATTGTCGATTGAGTCTTTCCCTCTCTGGGTCCGGTTATACCTTCAAGGTGGGCTGCAGGATCCCTTTCTCAATGAGGTGCATCTTCAGGGTTTTGTATATATTTAACTGCTGTTCTGGTTGAAGCACCAACAACTGCTGCAGCACTTTGCTGGGATTCGGGCCCCTGGTAACAAAGCAGAAAGGAAAGTTCTTGCTATTTTAAGAGCTGAAGGAAGCATATGCCCACAGTTTAAATGCTGCCTTTCAGTGTAGAGTAGCAATCTTTACAGAACTGAAACAGCTCCTGATCAGAGCACACTCTATGCCCAACGTTAGTGCCAACAGTAAGACACACACACACACACACACACACACACACACACACACACACACAAACAAAAGAAAACAAACAATTTTCTGCTGAGAGGCGTGCAATATCAACATGGCAAGAATGGGCAGTACAAGGGGTATGGATCTGAGCTCTACAAAATTCTCTGAAGGGCAACCTGAGTTAGAGGTGGGGATAGGGGACAAATCCCGAGATTGGACAAGGCACAAAAGCTATCCTGTAAGGAAAGGAGCAAAATTCCTGGTGGGAGAGGACATGAAAACAGTGTTTTGCTTGTTAGCTTCAAAGAAATGTCAAACAATGGCAGGCATTTTGTTGAAGAACTACCCAGGGAACCATGAATGTTCAAGAGGCAGGACTCAAAGGCTCTGAGCCCAGCACTGAATTCCTACCCGGCCTCAGCAACAGGGGCCACAGCCTTTGTTCAAAGAGAGTCTTGGGTCCCCAGTCTAAGGAACAGAATGAAAGCGGATCTGCTCCAGTTGAATGGAGGAGAGCCCTGCCTCCTCGCCCACCGCCCTGGCGGTTCCAGGGGGAGGGTGTGAGCCCAGGGTGGACTGAAGCAGCAAAGGCCAGTGATTCCATGCTCTCCCCACAGCCCACACAGGGGCCTCTCAGCACTGCCCTGTGGGCGAGCTCCACCAGCACCCCCACGGCAGCCCTTCTCTTCCCCTTCACAATGCGCAGGTCAGAAAGCTCCAGGTCAGGACTGCTGCCCTCGCACCTGTGCTGCTATGACTCTCAGCCAGGGGACTGTAGTCTCCCCTCCTGGGCTCTAGAACTCACCCCCCTTATACACTGGAGACCATGTGTGATCTTCTAAAGTGCTATTCTGTCAAGTTCCAAGTGAACCTAATTCAGATGTTAATGCATATGCACTGTTCTTTGTAATTTCTACAGTCCACTTGAATAGAAGAGTATGGTTTACTTTTTGTGAAGAGCAGTGAGTAAAATCCAATGGGAAAAAGACATAAGTAATATAAAGAGAATGGTAACCAGAGAGACATTTACACGAGTAATTAAATTTAGGATTTATAATAAGGACTCTTCAGTTCAAATGGAATTATAGGAAGTAGAAATACTCAGATTCACCCATCCTATGGGTCCCCTTTGTGCAAATGCCAAAAACTGCAGCCATAAATTACACAGCCACAGTCTCCTCAAGTCAGGGCACCGCTTGTCTTAGATTTCTTCAAAAGATTCAGCAACTTCATAACATAAACCCAGAGCAGGGCCCGCAGAGAAAAGGAAGGCGTTTCTAGCAAGTTCAGCTAAATGCAAATCTGCCAGCAGGTGCTCCCGGCTAGCTGCATCCTGGCACCAGCACTGTGTTCCAACAGCAAATATTTCAGATGGCAAGCACATGGCTCAGCATGACTCCTCTACTGGGAGAAAAGCACATTAAAAAAAAATTTAAAGTATGAGTTAATGCCCTAAACGCTGCCATCTGCTGCAAAGAAAGAGTTCTGAGGGTTTAGCCACTAATTACTAATTCTCAACTCTATCAGTAAATAAATTACACAAATAGATTGAATATTCCCAATAAAAAGACAAAGACTGTCTACTGGGTTATAAAAAACAAAAACAAAATCCAGCTATCTGCTTGTTAGAAAAGAAAAGAAGCCCTGACTTGCATCAGTGGTTAGTGTGGCTGCCTGTTTACCAAGGGGTCTCAGGTTCGATTCCCGGTCAAGGGCATGTACCCGGGTTGCAGGTTCCATCTCTGGCCCTGGTCGGGGCATGTACGGGAGGAAGCCAATTGATGTGTCTCTCTCACACTGATGTTTCTCTCTCCCTTCCTCCCTTTCACTCTCTCTCTCTCAAAAAAAAAAGAAAGAGAGAGAGAAAAGAAAACACACTTTTGCTAAAAGGATAAAGGAATGCTAAAAGTAAAAGGAGGGACAAAGAAATTCTGTGCAAACACTAACCAAAAGAAGGCCGATGTAGCTATTCTAATATCCAACAAAATAGGCTTTAAGCAAGAAGTACATAAAGATGGACATTATATAACATTATATAATGACATTAGGAGTGATTCAACAGGGAGATATGATAACCCTAAATGTGTATATACTTAATACAACCTCAAAATATATAAAGCAACAAATGACAGAATTAAAAAGAGCATTAGGTAAATTTACAATCATGGTGGGAGATTTTGACAAAGCTCTCTCTTTGTAACTGATAGAATAAGTGAACAGAGGGAAAAAAAATCAGTACAGAAGATTCAGAAGATTAAGCTAAACTTCACCCAAATGATGTATACAACATGCCCACCAGAAACTGCAGAAGGTGCATTCACTTCGTATGCGCACGGGACATGTACCTGAATAGACAATACACTGGGGCATAAAGCAAGTCTCAACAGATGTTAAATATTGAAATAATAAACAGTATGTTTTCTGACCATAGTGGAATTAAAGCAAAATCAATAAAAAAAAAATCAGTACAGAAGATGCAGAAGATTAAGCTAAACTTCACCCAAATGATGTACACAACATGCCCACCAGAAACTGCAGAAGGCACATTCACTTCGTATGCGCACGGGACATGTACCTGAATAGACAATACACTGAGGCATAAAGCAAGTCTCAACAAATGTTAAATATTGAAATAATAAACAGTATGTTTTCTGACCATAGTGGAATTAAAGCAAAATCAATAAAGGAAGGAGAATGAGAAAATCTCCATTTGTTTGGAAAACGAATCAGTACACCTATAAATAATCCACTGGTCAAAGACGATATAATATTGGAAATCAGAAAACATTTGTGATGGAGTAATGAAAATAAAAATATAACATATAAGATGGGAACTTAAGCAGTACTTAAAAGGAGATTTGTAATCTTAGGTGAATATATTAGACTAGTAGGCTGAAAATCAATAATGTAAGCTTTATCTCAAGAAGCTTAAGAATAGCAAATTAAACCTAAAGAAAGATAAAGGATGAGAATAAACAGCAATGAAATAGAAAACAAAGTTAACAATGCCAGAATTTGATTCTTTGAAAAGATTAATGAGATAGATAAACTAACAAGATTACTCAAGAAAAACATAAATTCCTAACAAGATAACACAAGGAAAATAAGTGCTAATAAAAAATTCTCATGCTGCTATGGGTATATATTTAAAATGGGTATGTATTTAGGAACCTATAAATATGAGTTTCAACTTCAAATAACTCTATGAAGGAAATACATGTTTTCTATAGCTTACCCACTAGGAGAGACCATGGAAAATAAGGCTAACATGTGGGGTAGGTTTCACACCCCAAATGGGCATTTTGAGGCAGAACCAAAACATTAAGGTTTAAAAAGAAGAATAAGCCACCCTATATAAAACAGCAACACCCTCCACTCACCCCACCCCACACAACCACTCACCCCTGGCTTGTTTTATTTTTCTCTGTGGCACTTATAACCACCTAAACGAGCTATATTTATTTGTTTACTGTCCACTTCTGCCCCTTCTCCTTCCAACTCCCCAGTAAGAATGCAAACTCTGAGGCAGGGACTTGGTTTGTTTTTTTCTCAGCTACATTCGTACCAAGAACATTTCCCAACATGTAACAATAATTGGTAAACTGGATGAATTATGTCCTCCTGTGTAATTTTTTGTATTCACTATCATTGCCTTACCCACAACCAAGAAATTAAATCTCTGATGTTCCAATCCAGGACCATCCATACTGAGTGGATTTTAACTTGGCCCTTTAAAGACCACAATATGTACTATTGTTTATTTCAGTTCAAATCTACATAAACTAATAAAAATGTAAGCACGCTGCTCAGGGGTACGGTGTGACACAGCTCCAGGGGCCGCCGTGCCCTTTGATATTATAGGTTACCACCGGCAGAAAAGCAACTCGGTCAAACCAATGCCTATGGAAACGAGAACTTCAAGAAACCAAGTATGAAAACATTTTTTTTTTAATCTAAAAGTACCTTATAAAACTTGTGATGTAGACATGCACAAACGTTGCCATCAAGTACTGACAATCAAATCTGTCCATTATCCCGCCATGTCCAGGAATGGTGTTTGCAAAATCCTTCCAAAACAAACCAAGAGATTAGCCAATTTTCAAAAAAATTTTGTCATAAAATTCCTATCTAAAGATGTTTCTGGAATCACGGACACTAAGGAAAATACTTTACTATTAGATTGTCACACTAAATACAAACTTAGAACATGTGCAACAGATCAAAAACACATCTTTTGCATATATACCCATGTTAGAACATTACTGAATTGACCAGCAATATTAAAATAATACTCATTAAATATTAGTTAATTCTAGCACTAACTTTTTTTAGTTAAGAAAACTTTTTCCATATCAAAAGTATCAACTATTACTAGTCTAATATTTTTACAAACTGCTTTTCCGATCAAAACTATTTTGGGAGCTATTTTAGTATTGTTGACCGATGTACACATGGTTCTAACTCATATTTATCCTAATAGTTCTTACTCTGAAATAAACATTTTACTACTATGATAAATATTTCTTCTTCTTTTTTTTAGATTGTCACACTAAATACAAACTTAGAACATGTGCAACAGGTCAAAAACACATCTTTTGCATAAATACCCATGTTAGAACATTACTCAATTGACCAGCAATATTAAAATAATACTCATTAAATATTAGTTAATTCTAGCACTAACTTTTTTTAGTTAAGAAAACTTTTTCCATATCAAAAGTATCAACTATTACTAGTCTAATATTTTGACTACTTTTCCGATTAAGCAAAACTATTTTGGGAGCTATTTTAGTATTGTTGACTGATGTGCACATGGTTCTAACTCATATTTATCCTAATAGTTCTTACTCTGAAATAAACATTTTACTACTATGATAAATATTTCTTCTTCTTTTTTTAAGTGTTTCGGTAAAAGGAAAGTAAAAATAGTTCATTTGGGACACATTAGTCAATTGAATTGCGGGGATGGTTAGTAAGCCTCTGCAAATTGACTGGACAGATATATCCCCATCTCCCAGTGCCTGGAAATGGCTATGACTAATTCCTCTTCTCATTCACTCAGGCAACCTATAAGCATCTAAAATGCAACAGCAATTACAGCCTTTTGGACAGGCAAAAAATTCTCCGTAGTCAACAGGAAACCCTGGGTTGGAGACTATTACAGAAAATGCCATTCCAAATATAACACATCTCTGTGTAAAACAATTCTTTGGTTAATTTTTGCCAACACATTTCCTTCCATCTCTTCCCTACTAACCGCAGCACAAGACAGCCATGGTAACTCAGCTCTGCTCCGCTGCGTGCAGCCGTCACTGGACACTAGCCATGCACGGCTGCTGCGGGTTCTGTGTGGACCTGTGTTATCTCCCATAGTGGGTGCTGAGCATTTTGAGAACAGGGACAACATCATACACACTTTTGTATATTGCATCCCACTTAACATACCATCTGCCCCATGGCAAATCCTCACTGAGTTAGTTCATTTCCCTGGCTTATGGGGCCCGCCGTGGTCTGACTCCACCAACCGCTGCAATGTGATCAGCCACACACACTATTCAAAGAGGCTAAGCGCCTCCCCTTTTTGCACTCGCTGGGGTCTCTTCCTTAGATGTCTCTGCAGGCCTCCTCCTCCTCTTCTCAGATTGCTGCTCAAATGCCACCCCCTCAGAGAGGCCTGCCAGCTCTCACTTCTAATGGCACCATATTCCATCTTAACTTGGTGAAGCCATGAGAGGAGAGCTGAGAGAAGAGGGCAAATGTACAGGGTGTCCCCCAAAAATGCGTACACACTTTGAATAATTATTAATTCCGATGGGTTAAATTTGAAAAGAAAGAAGCATCAATTGAGCTATTAGCTGTTAAAATGTGGATACATTTTGGGGGGACACCCTATGTGTCACTTTATGAGAATCTAACTTAAAACATAGGGATGATTTTAAGTATCTGGGACAGGGATCAGCAAACTATGTCCCACAGACCAAATCCAGCCACTGTTTTTGTAACTTTATTAACTTGATTTACAAAATAAATAACATGCCCACTCATTGACACATTGTCCGCCAGGCTTGCCCACAATGATGGCCAAGTTCAGAGTTGAGTAGTTAGGGTGTGATGAACAACCACAGGATTTTACAGAAGTTAGCTGACTCCTGATGGAGCAGAATGCATGGTTACATATTCAAAGGCTGCCCTGTCTGTCCCTGAAGTGAGACTGTGGCAGGACACTCATCTTCAGACGATTCATGCTGGATTCTTGGCCGAGCACTTGAAGGACCAAGATTCTGTGTTGTCCCCAATTAAGTAACACATGCCATTTCTATAGAAGGGGCTGACATGACATGGCTCGACCAAAACCCAACAAGAAAGAATACACTCAAATCAACCAGGAAGTATTTCTGTGAGGCCTGAAACCAATAGTTTTTGCTCGAGGGCTTAATGTAGGAGACCCATAGAGAACTGAATTTCAACTGTATTACATTCTCTGATATTGTAACAAAGAACCTAAACACACACCTTGATTTTGAAAGCTCTTTTGAATCCGCTGGCAAAGAAGCCTCCAAAGGGGCCAATCAAAGATGCAAATGTTGACAGAGCAACGCTGTGGATCTGGAAAGGGTACAAGCTCACTCTTTCCTACGGAGGAAAACAAGAGGCAGGGGTGGGGCTAAAATTGGAGTTGAGCATGTCACCTAAACTAAGAATATGACATAATAATACTTCAAAACATATGCCACATTTTTGTTAATTTCACAAACTTTCAGGCTCATGGGAGAAAAATACACGGTAAGCTCTCCTTATCAGCCTCTCCTAGCCGCACTCTTGTGCCCTCTGCATGCATACTGACAGTGCCTGGCACACCAAAACCTTGCAGCCAACAGGCTACTTTCTAGTTCATCTAGAAATTTCTACAACACTTGAGCTGTAGACTTACCAAGAATCAGCTGAGTTAATTTCGGAATTTGTTTTTTACCAGTAGTACTTTGTTTTTTTGTAATTATATAATGTATTTTAAATTTTGAATTTTATTTTGCTTTATAACTTTGTATGACAGAGTGAGGGTAAAGCTGGTCTTTCTATTAATAGTAAACTAAATGATGTGGAAACACATGAAAATAAGTTGCTTTAAAAATATACCAAAATGTGCATCAGCAAGACGTTTATAAAAGATTTATGGAGATCATAAAAATTGAGAATTCTGCAAATTGTTTCATAAATTCTAAGTTCTTGTTCCAAATTTCTTTTCTTGCTCTGCTTTAAACTAAAACTACAAACTATACACAGTGCAGAGCTGGTGTGGCTTCACAACCATCATTGAGAGCACCAATCTTAATCAAAGATTGGCAGTTCAGATCTTTGCAGATAAGAGATGGCTTGGACATTGGAAAAATTCTTGGAATCCATGTATTGAGCACTCAGGAGAGAAATAAATTATTCTCTAAAGTTAAGGACTTTAGTTAAAAAATAATATGATTCAGATATATGCATATACACGTGTGTAGACACACAATTATTTGATTCCCCAGTTTAAGTAACCACCTCTGGTTTCGATGGCACATATCAGCAGGTTCTGCTGGACAGCATGGCACAGCCTGCAGTGTAAGACCGCAGGTTGCCTTAAATGGCAGGAGTGCACTTCTGGAAGGGAAACTGGTTTTTAGAAGCAGCAGTTTTCTCTGCTAGTAAAGGTCCCCTGAAAAATCAAGGAAACTCTGAGCTGGTGAATTTTAATTAATTTTTAAATTTAGGCAATTCATGCCCTGGCTGGTTTGGCTCAGTAGATAGAGCATCGGCCTGTAGACTGAAAGGTCCAGGCTTCGATTCCAGGCAAGTGCACATGCCCGGGTTGTGCGCTCAATCCCCAGTAGGGGGCATGCTGGAGGCAGCTGATCAGTGATTCTCTTCATCAATGATGTTTCTATCTCCCTCTCCCTATTTCTCTGAAATCAATAAAAATAAATTTTAAAAAATTTAGCCAATTCATGCCAATTACATGTGAAACTTATTGTAACTCATCCAATTTTCAGAAATCTATGGAATATTTTTCAATGTTTCAAAACAAATACAAGATAAATTATAGCATCAGTATTCAAACCATTAGGCAAGTAAACCCCTAAAAAACAATAAGTTTATGACAGTAATGTTCACTTTATGTTCAAGAAAGGGAGATTACAAAGGGCTAGAATACATTATTGATGCTAAGCAGACAGTGAAACCACTTCTGTATCATAGAAATCAATTTCTTACAAAAATCTTACTCTTTGGGATAGAGGACCTTACCCACATTTATCTTACCCGTCTCAGCACCGCCTTCAGAAAGGGAGGAAGTGAATAACTCTGAAGCTGGAAAAGTTCCGAGGGTTCACATTCTGTAACGAAGGAGTTTACATCGCTTCTGTATTCCACCGGACAGACAAAGTACTGGTACTTGGATAACACGTAGGCAGCCTGAATAACAAAGCAGGAGTTCATGAAACACTGAATGAAAGATTGATTGTGTGTGTGTGTGTGTGTGTTGTGTCAGCAGAACAGCCAGAGTAGATGCCAAAGTTTCTTTGTATTCACATTCTGCTATGTATTCTCAAAGCTCGATGGTCAAAACTGACCCAATCAAAGACTTTGAAAAGCCATTGGAAAACCAAAGGCCTTTTGGAAATCAAAGAGATGATCTCTATGTGACCACAATAGAAACAAGGAAGGGGAAGGAGAAAAAGAAGCTGATTTAAACATTTAAACAAGCATTTCAACAAGGTTTCACTTTTCTAAAGTACACATAATTAATGTTAGCAGATGCTAGTAATTAAGGTATGGGAGAGTACAGGACTGAAGTTCTTTGAATAAATGTTATATTAATTTCATCAATTAATAAATAACCAGTGATTTAAAATTACAAAAAAAAATACAGATGAAAAACACCATTGTTAACCAACCCAGAAAACTTTGACTAAACTATTCTTTCCTTGACCACAGCACTGTAATTTTAATATAGCTTTTCTCAGTCATGGGAGAAGATACATAAAATGAAATATTTTAAATTGAAATTGTTAGACAACAGTTTATTCTCTTTTCTTTTGCAGCCATTCACCCCATTATACTGCTCAAGAATGATTAAGAGAAGTGCAAATTAACACTAGGAATGTTAATAAACTGATTTTGCTCCTAACCAGTTTCCTCAAAATTATATATTAGAAAATATATAATGTCCCTTTTCATTACTTTTGCCATGCATTACCTTCTTACAGGGTAGCTGTTTATTTTCTTCTAATGATATGCTATTCTTATACTATTTCTAAATTAGTCTTTAATAATACCAAATTCTTATAGTGCTATTTAACTTAGTAATTCCTGCTTCATAATGTATAAACATCAGACAGGGTCAGTTCCCTTTTCATCATTCTGTTTATGAGTTACTATCTCATCAGTACTCTACAGTATGCAGAGTATACAACATAAACACTGATTGGATTAGTTTTGCCAGATCCTATTGGAATTTTCATTGAGAATGAACTAAACTTGCAGATTAAACAGAGGAATGGTTTTCCCATCCAGGAACCTGATACTTTTCATTTATTTGTATATTTGCTCTCTCTCATGTTGTTTCTAGTCACTGTATATTTGGCTGTGGAATGTATTCTAGAACTGTTAGGGACTACACTTTTAAAAAATTAAACCTCCTAACTATTTTTTAATATATTTACCTTATATCTAGCCATTTTACTATATCTTTACTGCTTCTTATGAGATAACTTTTAATTAAAAAAACCTACATTCCATAACTATAAAGTAATTTTTAAAACATTAACAAGACTCATTATTCATGGCTAAAAGCAAACAATTATTTTTAACAACCTTTTCCTGCATGTTGGGCTCACGGCAGTAAGCACTTGCTAAGCCAAGTAGCAGCATGTGTAAGGAAGGCAAGGCTCTTCAACATCATTTGTATTTTCTGCTTTTACTCAAGGCCACCACCTGTCCCAGAACCTGTGTCCCAACAAGGCAGAACAGCTGTTCGAAACTGCCAAACACAACAGAGGGCCTCAAGGCCTCCACGTACACCAGGGGGGAGTTGGCCTGGTAAGGGGCTGGGACATAGATGTTGAATAAGCTCCCCAGGTGATTCCGATATGAAGCCAGGATGAGAGCTACTGGGGTACAGAATAGATTATGCCTGGTGGGTTTCAATAAATACAGTATTAGCCCTTTGCAGTTTAATTCTTTTAGGTTTAGGATAGACTGATACACTTGCTACCATTTTTCAAAATAGAAATAAAATAGAAATCTTAGTAAAACTCACAATGAATCCAAACACGACTGTGGAAAAGAAACCGCCAATAAATCCTTCCCAAGTCTTTTTAGGAGATAGCTAGAAAAGGCCAAATAAAATAAAAGAGAGTTACTGTACTCCCAAAACACACAATACATATGCAAGCTCTGTTCGATGAATTCCCATACATCTCTCCTTGGAATGGCTTTGCCACCCTTTCCCCTTCATTCCATGATCCCAATTTATTTATGCAAATTTCTCTAATAGTATGTAATATATATTGGGCCCTCAAACATTGGACACACACCAAAAATAGGTGAGCATAACTAAACATGGACATCGCAGCCCACCAGATTCCCACGTATTCCCAAGAGGCCATGCAAATGGCAAAATGGTCCACAGCCCCAGATATAGTATTTACTCCCCAAGTATTCACGTATCCTTCTCTCTCTGGTCACAACCTTGTCTGTCTCCACGAAGAAAGGACCACGCTGTGCTTCTAAGAACAGATACTGTTTGTTTCAGATTAGAGCTACTGCTTCCCAGTCCACGAGGCGCTCAGGGGGAGGAATGTGGAAGTCGGTGGTGCAGGAGGGGAGATTCAGGAGGGGCCTGCGTTAACTGCCTGAGCTGCCCTGCAAAGGAAGGACTGATGTTTGGGGCGCTGTCATCAGGTCACTGATGGCTTCTGTGATGACCCTTTCAGTGGAACAACAGGGACAGGAGCCAACAAATATCCCAGGGAAGCTTCTGCAGACGGAAACGGGTGATAGCTAAGCTGCACGAGCTGTTTACGGGCCTCTTGTTGTGATGGTCATAAAGCTCAAAGCCAAGAGGGTTGGCACAAATAACCGGTTTCTTGACATATCTGACAATAGCGAAGGGGCAGATGTCTACCTTCTCGTAGGATAATTCGGTATTATCATCATGCAGTGCGAGTTGACTCAAATTCAAAAATGCCCGCTGATTAGTTCAAAGATAGCCACCAAATTGAATTGTTCCACAGCATATTGACTTAGGGGTGAACTTAATTCCATCTGCATATATTATGCAACTAATCCAGCCCAGGAAGCTCACTAGCACTCGTTCTAAGTCAGACAGTGAATCTTCTGCAGGCGTACAGCCTCTCTGAAGACGTCCTCAGCCCATCACTTCTAGCTGGTCCAGGAGCCTTGAACACTTAATCACTTGCCTGTGTGCTGAACAGCTTTAGAAACCTGAGGAAAATACATGGCTTGCTTGTATCCCTAAGGCTCAGCCTGACACCCTGTGTTGGACCGCTGCTCTGTGGGGGAGAATTTATGGAGGGTTTTAAAGGCCAAGGTCTGCTCTTCCATGAAGAACTGCTTTGTTTCTTTTTTCCTCAACACGGGAACTTATAACTTAATTCATTTCCTTCTTTGCCTCCACTGACTGTAAAGAGAAGCAGCTCTAAGGCAAAACGACATGGCCTGCTCTCGAGTCCATTCCTTTCCCTTATTCTAACCTTTCCTCATACTTACATTATCAGTGTTTTATTTAGGGCCTCAATTTTTTTTTTTTTTAGTTTGGGTGTAAAAGTCTTACAATGGACATGAGTATGTGAAGATGGTGTAATGAACACTTTCAAAAAGTTTGGTGAAGGAGGGGGCGGGTCAGACAGCTGGGGGAGCAGAGGCAAGGAGAACCACATCACTGAGAGAAGAAACCAGCAGAAAGGAGAAATGAGCCTTCATGGGAGAAAGGATAACCGATGGTGTCGGGCCCTCAGTGAGGAGCCAACAGAACAGTTGAAGAACCAGACAGCACCCTCGGGAAACATGCTCGCTGCCCTGAGTGCAGCCAAGGAGGGTTGAAGGCCCTTGGAAATCAAAAAAGAAAAACAAACAAACAAAAGAAATTAAAAAATGGGTAACAGCACTAAGTCCCCAGTGGCTAATCTTTAAGATTAGGGTAGTGGCTTGTGATATTTTATAATTACCTTAATTAATGGAGTTCTCCCAAAAAAAAATCCAAAAAGGTAAGCAGTTATGTCATTGCAGATAACACTTGATATTGGAACAAGGAACCTTTAAAAAAAAAAAAAGTCAGCAAAAACAAGTTCATATGATTAAGTGACAAGTATTTTATACAGCTTATGACTCACAATGAATCAATATAATAACTCTTGGAATTACCCTTCAGACTAGTCCAGAACATAACACTTGCCGAAACATTATTAGAAACATTAAATATTAACCACATTTGCCTGCTTAGCAATTAAGCAGATCAAAATCTATAAATAAATTAACATAGTGGGAAAATATTGCTAAGGAATATACTAAATAATCAATTTAATTTTAATATTAAATAATGAATTTCTATAGCTATGGATTTTCAAATTTCATTTTTATGAGGAACAAATTATAATAGTATAAAAAATTTTTAAAAATATTTTCAGAGAGGAAGGGAGAGGAGAGAGAAATAGGGATGAGAAAAAGTTTTTTAAAAAGCCACCTTTCAAAATGGAATGAGTCATTTGGTTTAGATAGAGTATAATCTGAAAAATTTATACTAAGCTCTTAATACAAATTGTCTTTCAGGAAAAATTATCAATTTTAATTCTATCTTAGCCTAAAATTGCATTAAACCCTACTAATTATACAGAAACTATTAATTTCATAATTTAAGTTTGTATATGGAAGACAATCTTAAAATGATGTTAATTGTACACACATAACACCAACTCCTTGGCTAAAAATCATGAAGCTGTCATGGGAATAATTTATTTTCACAAAACCAACTGTAAAAGATTTTAATTAATGAGTGCTTTTTTAAATGTGGGGAAATTATGGTCAGATTTCTTAAAATCTTTTTTTCTCCACTCTATTTTTAACTAATAATTTTTATAATTTTAAGCTAATACTATTTTATTTTTATTATTTTATTTTTGAAAAATCTTTATTGTTGAAAGTATTACATATGTCCCCACCCCCACCCCCTTGAAACTAATTTTTAACTTACAAAAATGCTTTCTGAATGGGCAAGCCACTGCTATATAGCGAGTAATTTCATACATTTGAAATCCAGACACCTGCTCCTATACATGGGCAGGGTATGTACCACTTTCACTAGAGAAAGTGCTTTGCCAGCACAATGTTGGCAAGCAAACTTTCACGTTCTTTCTGCATCCCATGTAAATAATATGCTCCTTTTAAGAGCGATGCTTTGTAAAAAGTCACATTCAAATAGTAGTCAAGCCTGAAAGTGTAATTAACTGTTTGAAACTTTTATAAGGACTTTATTTTATTTGGAATCTGAATAAGGAATATGCCCAGCTAACATGTTTGTCTTCAGGTGTCAAATAGTAAAATCAACAAAACTCAGTAAGGTATTTTAATGGAATAGAGCAACAACAAATAGTACATTTTAGTAGAAGTTTGTGAGACACTGTTCAATGTGAAAGCACTTTAAAAATGCTATGACATAAGTATAAAGCAGCATAATTCTGAGCCCTTACCATATCATGCCTTCAAACAGATTTTGGATGACAAGATGTGACTGAGTAACTGTTATCAGTAAAGTGACATGAGTCCATGCGAACTGTTAATAGCCCAACAACACAACAGTTAGTGAACACAACTGATCAGTGCAGCCAGGAAGCAAGAGTAACTCTGAAACACACAATTCTAGCATGGTTTTTTGGTTAAATTTTGTAAGAGAAGGTTATACAAAATAAATGTCGTTAGCAAATTATATTCATTTTGGTGCCTACTGGAACCTTAAAACCATGAAAACATTTTAAAAAAGTAATCTTAGTATACAAATGGATTGCTTATTATCCTGAGCTAAATTTATAACCATGTAAAGAATAAACCATAGTCTCGAACCATCGGCTTACAATGATAATAAGAAATGTATGGTGTTGTTATGACATTTAGAGAGGAACATTTTACTCCAGCTGCATTCTGCAGTTATTAAACCTGCTAAACTCTATTTCTTTTTTCAGAGTTCACTATGGTAACTTTTTCCCATAAAGAGTTATTTCTAAATTCAAATGATTCAAACCAGGAGAGATCAACTGCCCTTGAATCCACCTTTTCATACTTGGAAGTTGATCGTCACAGCTCTGTTCAATGGCACGAGTCAATTTCAAATTTCCAAAGGCCTCTGTGTTTCAGTTCCATCCAGCCTGAGAGGTGGCCGTTAGGGACTTTTAGCATCATCAGTATGAGTTGAATGTGAATGAAAAAAAAAGCTCATGTTTCTAGTGTCGTAATTTTGACTGGAATTTATTACTCTTCAAAATTCTTAGATTTTGATTTATTCATAATAAACCTATTTTCTATTTCAGCAAATATTATATAGTGGCTTTGTTTTATTTTATTTTTATCTGCTTAAAAGATCCAATTCTCTTTTACCCTGGCTGCTTAAAAATGCATAAATGATTTTTTTTTCCAATAGGCACCATTTATATTTTCATAGGAGATCCTATTGTTGAAAGTATTACATATGTCCCCACCCCCACCCCCTTGAAACTAATTTTTAACTTACAAAAATGCTTTCTGAATGGGCAAGCCACTGCTATATAGCGAGTAATTTCATACATTTGAAATCCAGACACCTGCTCCTATACATGGGCAGGGTATGTACCACTTTCACTAGAGAAAGTGCTTTGCCAGCACAATGTTGGCAAGCAAACTTTCACGTTCTTTCTGCATCCCATGTAAATAATATGCTCCTTTTAAGAGCGATGCTTTGTAAAAAGTCACATTCAAATAGTAGTCAAGCCTGAAAGTGTAATTAACTGTTTGAAACTTTTATAAGGACTTTATTTTATTTGGAATCTGAATAAGGAATATGCCCAGCTAACATGTTTGTCTTCAGGTGTCAAATAGTAAAATCAACAAAACTCAGTAAGGTATTTTAATGGAATAGAGCAACAACAAATAGTACATTTTAGTAGAAGTTTGTGAGACACTGTTCAATGTGAAAGCGCTTTAAAAATGCTATGACATAAGTATAAAGCAGCATAATTCTGAGCCCTTACCATATCATGCCTTCAAACAGATTTTGGATGACAAGATGTGACTGAGTAACTGTTATCAGTAAAGTGACATGAGTCCATGCGAACTGTTAATAGCCCAACAACACAACAGTTAGTGAACACAACTGATCAGTGCAGCCAGGAAGCAAGAGTAACTCTGAAACACACAATTCTAGCATGGTTTTTTGGTTAAATTTTGTAAGAGAAGGTTATACAAAATAAATGTCGTTAGCAAATTATATTCATTTTGGTGCCTACTGGAACCTTAAAACCATGAAAACATTTTAAAAAAGTAATCTTAGTATACAAATGGATTGCTTATTATCCTGAGCTAAATTTATAACCATGTAAAGAATAAACCATAGTCTCGAACCATCGGCTTACAATGATAATAAGAAATGTATGGTGTTGTTATGACATTTAGAGAGGAACATTTTACTCCAGCTGCATTCTGCAGTTATTAAACCTGCTAAACTCTATTTCTTTTTTCAGAGTTCACTATGGTAACTTTTTCCCATAAAGAGTTATTTCTAAATTCAAATGATTCAAACCAGGAGAGATCAACTGCCCTTGAATCCACCTTTTCATACTTGGAAGTTGATCGTCACAGCTCTGTTCAACGGCACGAGTCAATTTCAAATTTCCAAAGGCCTCTGTGTTTCAGTTCCATCCAGCCTGAGAGGTGGCCGTTAGGGACTTTTAGCATCATCAGTATGAGTTGAATGTGAATGAAAAAAAAAGCTCATGTTTCTAGTGTCGTAATTTTGACTGGAATTTATTACTCTTCAAAATTCTTAGATTTTGATTTATTCATAATAAACCTATTTTCTATTTCAGCAAATATTATATAGTGGCTTTGTTTTATTTTATTTTTATCTGCTTAAAAGATCCAATTCTCTTTTACCCTGGTTGCTTAAAAATGCATAAATGATTTTTTTTTCCAATAGGCACCATTTATATTTTCATAGGAGATCCTATTATTTCTAATTTGTCTTGACGGTTTCTAGATTTTTCATTGAGAATTTTACTCTTTCCCTCTCAAGGTCTCCAGAAATTAGAAATGTAAGAAATATTACAATTTCTCAGCACTAATGCTCAGCAGGTGGTCTTAATGGAGAAAAGCAAAGCATAAAGAATAGAAAATATATCCCAAATCCAAAACAAGATGAATACATAATTTCACAGATTTAAATATTATGTTTTTCATTTTAAGTCTTATAATTAGCTACATTTTAAGAAAATAAGAAAAGTTCATCATACACAGTGATACATTTCATAAAACACTGAACACTGTTCAACGCTAAACTGAATAAAATACCTTAGGCTAAAAAGAATTATGAAATTTTATGACTAACCATAGCTACCAAGAAAATACATGCTTTGGTCCCTTTATACTCAATGAAGAGCAAGTTTCCATAGAGAAATAGGGTAAATATACTTAGCTTCTCAGACTAACTATTCAGAAATCTATGGAAATGTTTCAAATTTCTACCAATTTAGGGAATCCAAATACTTGGTTTTAACTTTATAGCCTTTGAGCATATTTAAAGAAAAAGTTTTTAGAAAATTTTGAAAATGGTTAAAATTTTTAAATCCTCAAAAATGTTTCAACTTCAACCTTTTGTATTTAATAGTCATCCCAAAATGGAAATTTAGGCCTCAAGTAGCAGATTACATTTTATCTTCTCATTACAGAAAAATAATTAAAGGTAAGGGTTTCTATGATGTACAGTGACTACGGAACCATGATTAGTACATACCATGTAAAACTGCAGTCGATAATGTTTCTTCACCAAGCTCAGCACAAACATGCAGAAACCTGCTCAAGAACAAAGACCATGTGCTTGTTGTGCAATTGGTTACCAAGTGTAAGATTCGCTGAGTTCAAACAAGCCAATCTTCTACACCACACCTGTATACTCTATCCACTTACTCATCTGGCGTGTCTCCTACTCTTATATTAAGTATTTTAAGTAAAGGTTTCCTGCTGGAAATGATCTTGTAGTCTCCAAAACGCCTAATATATTCCAATGCATACATTCAATAAATATCCCCGAAGTTAGTTAAGTGAATTCATCTCTTGCTAATAGGTGGACATGGAAAACCAGATCTTAAATTTCAGTTGAATAAAATTAATTTGCTATATCAGTCTACCAAGTGTATGTACAGAATGCTTCAATAATGTAAAATTGAATGCTCTGCATAATGTAAAAATTAAAAATAATTACTATGGTGGCTAACATCTATTGAATACTTGTTATGTTCCAGGCTCTTGTTAAGTATTTTACTAGTATTAACTCATTTAATTCCAACGTCCCTATGATATAGGTACCTTTTATTATGTCAGTTTTACAGATGAAGGAAAATGCGCAAAGGACTTCATTAATTTACTAAGTATCACCGGGCTAAAAAGCATTAAACCCTCAGATCCTAATAATCCTCAAGAATCTGTGGTTCCACAAATCATTACTGGCAAGACTCAGGTTAAGAGTGACTTGAAATTTCTCAGAACCATATGATAATAATTATAGTAAAATATAATGTTCTCAAATAAGATTTACAAACAGCACTAGTGTTTATGTTTATAGTCTTCAAATTTATTACAATGAAGTTTTACTAAATAAAAATTCTACCTAATTAACTGAAATCTAACATATACCAAAATAATGGGAAATCAATCTATATCTATCTATAGATCTATATCTATATCTATACCTATACCTATGCATATACATATACATATTAGGAGAAATAAAGGGGAAAAACACATTAAAAAGTCCAAAAGATGAAATAGAGGGAATTTCAGAAAAGTGGACAATCAAAAATTATTTATTGAGCACTTAAGATGTACCAGACACAAGATACAAAAATTGAATAAGATAGGCATTCCAAGGAGCTCATAATTTAGCTGAAGAGACAGAAAGTATATAGAAATAATAAAGTTTTAAAAATTTACTATTGTGATTAACCAATTCAGTAAACACATGTAGTCCTGAATTTAAAAAACAGACAGTAAAATAGACCCAGGACTAAATAATGGAGCTTACTGACTCAGCCCTCATTCTTTCATGTGGCTGTACTTTTCACTACCCTTACATAACTAATCAAAACACCAAAACGTTTCAAACATCCTTTTAAATAAATTCAGAAGCACACAGCATTGTGTGCCCATAGTCAGACACCAGATTACATCTGAGCTATTTAAAAACGGTTTTAAGTGATTATGCATTGTAGAAACTGTCATGAAAACCAACTTGATTAGCTAAGATTAAAGTTTTCTATCAATCTTCATGGTGAGTTTAAGGTGTAGAATAGCAGCATGGGTATAGTTTTTAACAGTCATTAATTCAAAAGTGACAAGTGGTTTTGCAGATACAATCCTTTGTGAATAGTTATTTGTGACATCTTTCTAAAGAATTCATCAACATCCTTTAAGATAAAAGATATTCAGGATGTTTGGAGAAAAATTATTAATTATGCATCAATTTTTGCTATATGTAATTTTATATGTCCATCAGTTTTCTTGAATTCAAAATGTCACATTAAAGTCTCAAGGGTTTTTAAAAGGAAATCAAAAGAGTTATGTGCCCGGCCAGAATGGCTCAGTGGTTGAGTGTCGACCTATGAACCTGGAGATCACAGTTCAATTCCTGGTCAGAGCACATGCCTGGGTTGCAGGCTTGGTCCCCGGTTGGAGGGGGTGGGGGGGGGGGAATGTGGGAGGCAGCTGATCAATGATTCTCTCTCATTATTGATGTTTCTATCTCTTTCTCCCTCTCCCTTTCTCTTTGAAATCAATAAAAATATTTAAAGAAAAAGGAAAGAGTTAGCCATGCATAAATACAAGCCCCCCCCCCAAATCACCAGTTGGCTGAAGAGATGGTAATGAATATTAGGTATAAACAACTTAAGTGTATTCACCCATCACTCCTAGACATGTAATCACATGGCTGCTCTGTTTCTAGAGAGCCCTGAATCCAAATCACAAAGATCTTTAATTAATATACTAGTATCTAGACCAGCCGTGGGCAAACTACGGCCCGTTTGAAATAAATAAAACTAAAAAAAAAAAAGACCGTACCCTTTTATGTAATGATGTTTACTTTGAATTTATATTAGTTCACACAAACACTCCATCCATGCTTTTGTTCCGGCCCTCCGGTCCAGTTTAAGAACCCATTGTGGCCCTCAAGTCAAAAAGTTTGCCCACCCC